ATCGTAAATTAGCGTCAGAAAAATGAAATGAAAATTCCAACTGGTATCCAGTTGCTATGTTTAATTATTCCAACTTGCGATGACACAATATGTGCATGTCACATTACGTATCATTCAGTAATAATAGAATTTGATAATATCACTGTATCATTTCTAATTATTTTACAGGAACCGATAAGTATGATACCGCAAACAGTATGTTGTCCAAATGGAAAAGAAGAATCCAATCTTGATGAAATATGTTGCTATCATTTAGTTACTAATATATCAATGTTCACTTCAGACTTCAAGTTAGATCACGCCTGTTGCAAGGTAATCAGCATTTTTACCAAAGTAAGACGAGATGTGTAAATGAGAAGTGTCCAACAAATCAATTTTTTTTTCTTTTAATATATTCTATACTATATTTCGAATGTGATAACTTCATGTTTGCTGAGAAATGTTCGAAATGCAAATCACCTTCTGTTCAGCTTATGATCACATGTATAAATGTTAATTTTGTTGGGAATGGGTAGCCACGTGTATGGATAAGCTACATTCACATGTCGTAATGTAACAACAGCAATCACTGTTTAACTGTTTATACTAAACAATTTCATTTCAATTGCCATGTTACATTGGGAAGAATAATTAATTTATACAAAGCTGTAGCAACGTTTTTTGCACAGTTTTATTTCCTTTCACTGCAACTTTTCTAAACTTCCAAAACTGAGGTGATATTAGCCAGAGAGAAAACTATACTACTTCATCACTTGCAATTAATACTTTTAATTAATGTATGCTGGATAATATCGTGAAATTTTTCCTCCGTACTCCATATCTATCCTAAAGCTTAGTTTTGAAATTTGTTATGAGTGTTTGTGTGTATGGCTAATTTAGGCTTTTCTTTTTTTTTTTTGTTAGATGTGTTATAGGAATTTATTCGTCATAATTCTGAAAGAGATTTGATGCTTAGATAAGTTTTGAATATTGAGATAGGTTTTTATTTTCTTTTTTTTAAAAAACCTACAGTAATAGTTGATTTGATATTAGTTTTATTATATACAAATATTCTATGTTGTTATTGTAATTCCACTGAAAATAATATTTGCCTCTTAAATTTGCGTACACGTTTTGAAAGTGATTCAGGATGATGAATAGTCTCACATCTTATATTTGCTTATTTATATATAATGTTAGCCAAAAATAAACTGAATTGCATCGGGCTTCTGTAAAATGACTACAAACTATCTATCCCGTATTGTTGTTATTGTTATTGTCGCTATTGTTACTGTTGTTATTGTTATTGTTTTTTACTACTGTTATTGTTGTTATCGTTGTTGTCGTTGGTGTTGTTATTATCGTTGTTATTGTTATTGTTGTTATCGTTGTTACTGTTATTGTTGTTGTTATTGGTGTTGTTCCTGTTGCTGCTGTTACTGTTATCGTTGTTGTCGTTGTTATTGTGTTGTTGCTATTGTTGTTGTTATTGTTGCTATTGTTATTGTTATTGTTGCTATGACAGCTTTCCTTCGACCTGCAACAGTCCAAGTTGCTGTGTTACGCCTTCTTTATCTTGCTTACTTTCGAGTTGAAAACGATTAACATTCCATTGTTCTACAATGGAAGACGTCAAATTTAGATGTTCACGTATCTTGCCATACCGATTTAATTACGATAATAATTGCTGTCGAGATGACTCCTTTTTCAAGGAGCCTTAGGATCTTTTTTTGACCTCGTAATATCGTCGTATTTCTTCTTTTGATAAATGTTGATCTGGAGCATTCGATCTATTTCTTGAATTTTTTCGAATAATTTCGCCAGTTCTTCTTTTGTCAGTTGTGCACTTTTAATTATAATAATAGACATTTCCCGATTTGTGGCATCCACTTCTTGTTGATAGAGGCGAATATTTGAGATATTTTTTTATTGATGAGTAATTGCTTACTCTTGGATTTTATTAGACAATAATTAGAGAATATAATTGATCACTAGATTGGTTTTCTTGTCATTTGAAAGGAAATTTGATAAGTTTTGTTGGGTACTGAGGAATCGGGGCTTGGAATCGCGAATGAAAGCTGATTAGGATCGTTATGAGTGAGTGAGAATTGATTAGTTTACCAACACTGAATACAAGATTAACTGTCAGGCAGGACGAATCTGCATATGAATTAATTAGCGGAATGTTAACATGCACGATATGTTAACATATGTTTTGAATAAGGATGACTATCAGATTAAATCTTTGTAACATTGCCATCATTGTACATAAATTTAGTTGTCAAACCAAATGTTCATTATTGCATTGATAATTGCAAATGAACTTCATTATCAAACCGGACATTCTTTTCAACGGTGTCGGATAAATGGGAGTTGGATAAATGATCCGTCGCTTAAGGTATTGAAAATACTCATTTTATTTTTCTTTTTTTTGTATTTTTTTCAAACAATTTCCCATTCAGTGATATTTGCTAAAAGACATTAATGGCATTAATAGTTTCTCAAATCATAAGATGCCTTGTTTACATCTATGATCTTGCTTTACTCAGCTATTTTTACATATCATTCGGACTTTCCTGATGTATGAATCAGTCTGAAGTCCTGTACTTTTTTCGAATGTGTTCAATGCGCTTATGGATGTCCAATAATTTCCTGAGTCTCTGCTCACATGTATATATATAGTCGCATCTTTAACTTTTACAGTATATTTTACATCAATAAATGAGTTATGCAAGAACTTGAAATAAATTTAAGAAGTGGAGTCACGTGTAAGAACGCTATTTATGAATTTGAATTAAGTTTAAGCGATTCCAGTTGAAGGTCAATAAAGACGTCAAATAGCTGTATTGGTACCAATTCTACCATGCACATGCATTATTCTACAATATCTTTTAACTAGCCTCGTTGGCAATACTGCGCTTATTATAGCTACTATTCAGAGCGAATACATCATTGATTAATTATGATTATTCTTTGATCACTAATTATTATTTGATCCATAATAACAGTTTTTACATTGATGACTTAGCCGTTCGATAATTTTAGAACACAATGTAATGAAAAGCAAAAAGAGGATTAAGCACCTATTGTTACACGAATAAACCCATAAAATCGGACAGGATCGAAATGAAAAATTCAGAAATTTAGGGAACATTTAAGAGAACAAAATGAGTGAAGATAGATTGAAATGGAAAGTTCCATCAATGTTCTTGTAATCTTACGACGGTTGCAATAAAGATTTACAACACTTTGTGTGGCAGATTTCTGCAACCCTTTCTGTACCTAAGTTTCAAACACAAAAATTTCAAACGCAAACTTCGAAATAATTGTTGAACTTTTATAAGTCATAAGGATTCCAGTTATCTGCATAATCCATAATCTCAACAGTATACTTATAGCATCGAATCATGGAATGTATGTTTTAGGCAATGTTTAACATTTTCATTCCACAAGCAATTTCTATTTTAAGTAGCAGTAAATAAATTTGCAGTATAATGCGAAAACACAACAATGCATACGAAATGACAATCAAAACAACCGTAATATTTTAAATTCACTGCTCAATACTTTTATATATATATATATATAACAAAAAAAGCCAAGCAAAACAGCATCACATGGCGGCGGTATTGAGCGTTTATGAAGATATGTAAGGTATTGTACAATAAGTTAACATATTCCCCTATAATACATCTTCATTTTTTCCTTTTTGTTCTTAAAAATAAGTGCATTAAACGGAATAACTCTGATCTCATTGTTTTAAGGGTATCGGGAAAAACCGAAGGAAATTGTAATACGTCCAAACACCTAAAGGATTTGTTGTAAAAACCATTTCCGCGATAAAGATTCATCATATTATACAATAAATATATATTACGTTTTTCCTATATCTAAAGTAATGAGTCTGTTATCTAAACTCAACTGTGTAAAATGTCTTCCCCTTTGGTATTGAAATTACAATTTACTGCAAACTGTGAAACTGCTGTACGTCTGATAAGATGATTGTCAGCAATTTCCTCTTCGTACAAAGAAATTTAGTCTTTTATGTAATTTCTCTTGCAATTGTGAAATTATTGTTAGCTTTGTAAAGACTTTATATGGACCTATTCTTTTATCGTAAATCCAATCCAATTATCGGCAATAGAAAGGTGCCAATAAACGCATTCTTGACATTCTTAAAAAACCTTCTTGGTCGAAGATCAAATCAGCGCCTGCTGAGTCTCGCTCAACTCGACGTTTGACGGCGCTTTTAAAAGAACCGGATCACCCGATTTCATCTTTTCATTTCACAATCAAATCCTACTGTATTATAATAGTTGCTAAACTTCTACTACTGAATAAACCTTTCTCTTGCTATTCAACACATGCAAACTAAACTTTCAAGACAAAAGGGATATTTTATCATCTGCATGTCGCAAGAGTTAGTAATACAGAGGGTCATGTGGGTATAGCTAAAGTCAACCCTCAAGTACTGGAAGTCCAAATCCAATCGAATACAACTCCAGCTCAAACACACAGAGAAACTTCTGCGTTGACAACGATCACTCAACCAAATCAAAGATTACCTAACACACGAAACAAAACTTTGACTTTAGCTGCAATTAACCAGCCTAAACCAAAATCAATTGCAATCTGGAAAGAAATTAAATAGGAAAAAAGCAACTTTGCACATTTTGTAACAAGGATCACTGGGATAGTAATGTCACATTCATCCCACTCTCAAACAACGAGTTAATCGTTTCAAGAAAATTAATACATGTGTCGGAAAAACCGAAAGAATTTATTATACATTAAATGCTTAGAATATTTCTGATGATTCATCACTACATTCATTCACCAATTTACATTCTTTGAAATTCTTTTGTTATCTTTGTCCAACGAAAATTCACATCATATTTTAATGACAAAGGATGTCCAATTTGCATGCTAACCTTCCCATCTGATCTTGTTACAACGCTTATTATGTAATTGGATCTTTACAGTTTCCTTTGTATCTAAATGAATACCCTTTTTTAACGTTTTATGTAAACCACTCCTACACATAAACCCTTTTGGAAAAAAGGCTTCTTGGGCTGGTGCTCTTCCATAGTGCTTTACTTAAAATTGCATTTGACTTACGGTCGAGCGATTTCCTACTCGTTGCTCTTCAATAATCCCATTGATCAACTCTGTATTATATCAGTAAAGCACTAGTCTTTATTCTGTGTCCTCACAACGTATATGCGTCGTCTTCACAAGGTAGGCCTTTAATTAAATTTCTGCTTGATCCTAACTCAAGGTTAAACATTCTAAATCTAAACGACTCGATAAAAAGAAAGAGTAATTTTTTCACAACAATATGCTCAAACTGCAGCAGGATGGGCATACCGAAGTTGATTGCAAAAAAATATCACTTTGTTTTTGTTATAAAAAACTCTTCTACAATGCTCTATGCGACATCAAAGAACGGGAAGTTAAACCATAAGAAGATTCTTCAGCTGAAGGAAAGAAGGTTACAACAAATAATGGAAACATTGTCATCAATACAATAATGGAACTGAAGAGTGTAAGAGTCTTATTTTTATCAAGGAAATTAATGTATTCAATCCAGAAAGACTTGAACTCCATGAAAAAGTTCACAAATGATAATAAGCCGGAGGGATTTATTCCTCACAGATGAAACACTAAAGATAGACTTGTTATAATGGATTAATACAATTAAAATCCTTGATTTTTGGAAATATGAAGAGATGAATATCTAACTTGTCTTCGAGAACGTATCCAAAGAGAACACACTTCACTATGAAACATAGAGAAGAGGGCTCCCCATGAGGAAAAATTATACTAGTTAATGAATCGGAGATTCCTTGCAGTATATGGAAGGTACCTAGGATTAAGGACATTATAAACACTGTAAATAAGAAACGCTCGAATAGTGGTATCCTTTAGAAAACTTCTCAATCGACCAATGAATATATTGTCCCTCTTGAAGTTAGCGATGAGGGAAATCCTCGCGACATCAATGATAAAAAAGACATAAAACTTCAGTCAATTTATCAGGAGATCGGCAAACCGGAAGATCTTATAACACCACGAATCAGAAGTGTCAAAAAATGATAATCATCAATTCTTCCTCAGAAATATAGTTCCCTTCCGTTGGGAATAGGAAAACCGAGAAAATGCATAATACGTGAAAACAATCCAAGTATGTGTACTACAATTTGCATCTTCAATATTATCTTTTCTTATTTAGATTATTTTCTGATAAAGGATTCGTTACACAAAAATTACAAATAAACTCCTAACGTATCAACTGATCATTTATCCATTTATCCGAATCATTTATCCAAACCTCGTAACACTGCTGTAAAGGACTACTGCTTGATAATCAAGCTACTTCTAATCTTGGTCTTTAGTGATGATAACCCAGCTTATGTGCAATGATGATATTGTAAAAGTATCTAATCTGATAACTGTATTTATATTCAATGGTACGTGTCTAGACTTCTGTTAAACATCGACTGTCTTAAAAATCTTTTCTTAGAATTCCTTGCATTCCTTTGTCTTGGAATTCCTTTGTCCTAAAATTAATTTCTAATGTAATGTATTGGTTTGATAAACTACATCCACAATATAAGGAGTTTCAAATCCGTTTTAGCTTTGAAAGCCTCGTCCAATTCTTAACATCCAAATTCTCCCTCATTATCTCATTACACCAATAAGGACCCATTCAAAGCTGTTTTTGTATTTTCCGTATTCGCTAATGAACTGTTACCGCCATCAATAAACCTTTATCAGCAACCTTGCATTCGTGTCAAGCAACACAAACTTCAATATCTTCCTAATCGACGATTTTTTTTTATGCGCTGCGTCATCTAGGATGTTTTTCTACTTCTGCATGATCTTCAGCTATTACCAAGCATCTTCCTCTCACCCTTCGCCTCTTTGAATACAACCTACTATCAAAATAAGAAGCATTCAGAATTCAGAAAAGTCATGCTAAGACTTTTTTCTGAGAAGTACAATGGTAGATATCAGAAAGGATTAGTGTTTCTAACAAGTCTAAATTGTCACAGTTTTTGAGAACTTCAAAGGCATAATCGACATTACTCATATTAGACATTAAGCCAAGTTAAGAAACTTGAACTGTCCATGAATTCTTTTTTTCCATATAAAAAAATATGCCACATTTTAGTGCAAACTCGGCAACTATTTTACCTGATTTGTTTTTATATTAATTCTACATCGAAAAATATCGAACTGGAAAGCTGAAAATATAGAAAGGGTTTTGCCTTCATTCTTATGTTTGCAAGTTCCCTTGTTGCGAGAATTATTTTTCGATTATAATTAATACACGGTTATTCAGCAGTTGCGCCACATACTGAACATTCGTGCAGATAATTATGGTTAATGCCGATTTCACAAATAGTGTAACAGGTAGACTGGACATTGTCGCGAATAAACGCGAAGAAAAAATAAAAATTATACGTAAATGTGATGTACATGTAAGTGCTATCACCATGCATAGAACTGTACATGTGCTTTTTGTTAGCACTGTACTCAAGGCTTCCTACCCTTAACAAAGTACTTTATCCATCAATTGTTGAACCATATCTGCGAACCTACATATAAATGCGTATATATATCCTTCACACGGCAGAATAACACTTTTTTAATTAGTCTTCAGATTAGTTCTTTAAAACTCATTTTATGACGACGTGTTTTTGAAGCATAACTTTATGCATTGTGTTTTGTAGCTCTTAATGACAATGCGACGTTAATTATTGTTTCTTTAATCTAGCAGTTTGATTTTCCAAGTTTGTGGTGAAAACAAAAGGAATTTGCAACTGTGTCAAGTTGCGCAAGAATAAGAATACAAAAAAAAAAATTTATTTCTAGTTTGGATTTGTTATTTGACAACACAATTTATTTTTATTTAGTAATTTTTTTTAATAATCATATTCGAATCCAACAAACTCGGTAAAATACATTTTGAGTAGCTTGTTGTAAGCGGTCAATATCATACAAGTGTTGAATGACATCAAATTTCCAATATCATGTAATATGATATTGAATAACATCAAACATTAGTGAATAAAACAAGTCTTAAAACAATTTT